CAACTCACATACTCCCTCCATCACCTCACAATCAAGTTGTTGACATTTTATTTCGGGTCTGCTCCAGATGCCAACTCCACCCCACTTCTTAGTAGATCTACAAAATGCAGCTCGACACTCGTAGTTTTCCAAGCGAAGGTTCTGTAGGTGATTTTCTTTAAGTAAATGTTCAGAAAAACATATAAAGTCAGGTTTTTCTTCATCTAGAAAGATTTCAGTCTCGTTAAGTTTCTTAAAAAACCTCTAACATTTTGGTGAGCCAACTTTAGAGATTTCTGCTGTGCCCTAACACCCTCCCGAGATAATGTGCCCAAGGGACTCCGCGAGGTTTCAGGGCAGCTCCTAAAAAATTCTTATTGAGGAAGGTGCGGGTATGATAAGTCTCTCTGTTAGGTGTAGAGGGGATAATTTTTGGTAAAGGTGTTCTGGTGAACTTTGAAGTTCGAGCAGTAGGCTTAGGAACTATGCTTGTGTCTGTTATGGATGATGGGTGGGAAACATTTATAGCTGGTGCAGGAGGCTCAAGAACATTTGTGGTTGCCTGGAATGAGGGAAGAAAGGATCCACATATGGTGTGGTAAAGAAGGTTAGAGAGATGGAATTTTCCCCCACGGTTAAGGTGCAATCCATGTCGGGTGTGGTTTTTTCGATATAAGGTTTCTACACAAAGGAAGGACACATTTTTGTGCTGGGCAGCAAGATGTCTAAGGCTAAGGTTGACTCTGGAAACTTCTGGATTAAGGGAAGGGGAGTCATGCCTAAGAGGGAGTCCAACTAAGATCACTTTCACGCCATGCAACGAACTCAGAAAAACATCTAGCTCAGCTGTGAAGTTTATACAGCGTCCGTTTACAATATTGTTTGTACCACCCATCAATATTAAAATGTCGTCATTACTCAATTTAGTAACTACAGTTTTTGCTCTAATTAAAATATCGTCGTACTTAGCATTGGGTTTTACTGAGTCAGATACAACTAAGCTACCCTTCGCTCTGGTTTCTAGCAAACTAGAAATATATCTACCATGACTGTCACTGACTAACTGTACACACCTTTTCTTACTAACACTTATGCTAGAATTAGATTGAGTGACTTCATTGGATGGATTAATGGATTCGGACACAAGGCAGCAACTTCCATGGTTGATAGGAACAACAACTTTATCCTTTACTTTTTGAGAGGATTCTTTAGGTTTGGATGTTAACTCAACAGGTTTGCCAGGATTAGATGGAGAATCGTCAGGTGGGGACAAAGACTCAAGTGCTGAAAATCTATTCCCTAGAGATATGTCAATGTCTAGAGATTTTGGTAGAATACTACCTTTGGTTTTAGTTTTCATATTCGTTTTCTCTTTGACAACTTCCCAGTCCTTACTATCAACTTTTCTAAGACTAACTTTAAGGCTAGGAGGTTTCTCTTTCTCACAGATCACAGGCTGACTGGCGGCTATTACAGTCAAAGAAGTTAGATTTGAGGTAACCTGAGTATCATACAAAGATGCATTGTCCCCAGAACTTTCAGCACAAAAAAACTGGTTGTACCAGCTCAAGAAATTAGAGTAGTAATTTGAACAATAACCAAACAGTATGACCTTGGCATTCAAGATAACATTTAAGCCACACTCAAAGTTGTTGTTTTGTCTTTGACACAGTACTGAATGGAAATTATTTCTACTTATGCCTAATTTGTCAGACAAGAGTAAAGCATGGTTCAAATTGGCGTCATCTAGAGAGTCTAAATGATAAGCTAGTTTATTTGCAACATTTACAAACAACAGACTCCAGTGAGAGCCCCTACCAATAGATGTAGCATCGTTCTCAGTCCATTCTATCTTATTATTATTATTTATGCAAAAAAACGCATACTTAGAGGATATAAGCCCTAAGGTACATAGCTGTTGCTCGACAATCTCAGCAGAGCCATGCTTTAAAAGCTCACTGATGGATGGACCCACAAGAAGTGCCTTAGAGGCTTTTGCTGCTTTGCACTCATTTAGAGAAACAAAGTATGATTGGATAATAGAGTCATCCAACCATTTGTCTAATTGTATTGTTTTAAGACGGTGTTGTAACATTTCAAGTTGAGACACTAAAGAGCGTCTTTCTTCCATAGAATCATTGAGTTTAGCAGATAAAAGTTTGAGAGATGTGTCTTTGTCTGCAATTATTGAGGATAAATTAGTAGCTGTGTTGGTTGGACTCATACTAGGATTTGAAATAACGTTATTTTGCAAGGTAGTCCTGAGTTCTTCATTTTCTTGAGTAACTCTTGCAAGGGAAGTTTTTAACTGGACAATATTGATTTTACAAGTTGCTAAATCCCTACTTACAGACTCTTTCTCCTCGACTATAGAGTCCTGTATATGCAGAGAATCATTAAACTCAGCCCGTTTTTCCCTTTGAAAGTTCTCAAAACGAGCATTCAAAATAGTTAATTCACAAGTCAGATCCTCAATTTTAGATTTAAGCTCTGTATTCTCCCCAGAGAGATTGTCTATGATTTTAATCAGTTGAGCTACATTGTCAATCAAAGAGCTACAGTCAATTTGGGGGTTGTTAACTGCAAATGAATTAAACTGAGAAGCAAGAGAAATCAAAGAATCTTCCGTATCCAAGTCAAACGTACTATTAAGAAAGCAGTTGTTTTCAAACAACTCCATAATCAGGACTTAAGCTAAACAACACATAAAGACATAATACTAGAGGTTGGACATTTATATTTTAGTGTTAATTACAAAATGTGTGTCAAAGTAATAACTAGATGAGTCCGTTCGGGTGATAAAAACTGCGACTGTGAAGCTCCAAGGTAGCAGACAGTGGGTGCGGTACAACAGCGGCACGGTGCAAGGAATCTGATGACTCCACAATCCGTTGAGGGGCGCCAGCAAGACAGAGACCGCAACCAGCGGGGCAGATCAGTGTTGAGTGTAGCGTCGCCGGCCGGTGTGGCGCAGCGCAGGGGGATCTACTGTGAGCAGGGGAATTAGTTGTCGTGAGGTTGGTACACAACTGAGGCAAACGAGCGTGCGCCGTCTTAGATGAAACTCTGTTCCTCACTGCTTTTACAGGTTATGGCATCTGCTCCCGGCTTATTCTGATGTAGAGTTAGTGACGTTTCCCACAATAATCTACTTACTAGAAGAAACTGATGACATATAATAATCAGTAAGGTGTACAGGATCACGCAAGTTATCACTGATAAGTCCAATAAAGTCTATCACAGCGTCAATCACTCAATTAAACACGAGCGATAAATCACCCAGCTAACTAATGCAGAACAGTTCTGCCAACTTCCAGTTCTTTAATTGACTTTGGCAATTTATTAAAAAGTATTGCTCCCTTGACATAAGGGCTGTTTTCTGTTCTCTGGAAATTTCTCCTCACTCTGAAAAAATCATTACCCTGTCGAGCTCAGGTACAAGCTCAGGACAATGGAGTTTGTCCTAAAATTTGCCAGGGGAAAAAAGTGTCCAGAGTTGCCAATAGGTTAGTCAAAGAAAAAAAAAACTTTGTTAAAATCACTTGAGAAGGACTAACAAAATCCATTACCGGTACTGTGTAATCAAAATATTCACAGCAGAACTTAGTTCATCAGGCGCAACATGAAAGTTAACTCTGCGCCCTGACAAAAATCAATTGATACTAACTTAGTCCACAATAACCAATACTATCTAAAAATTGAATAAATCTTTTAAAATTGATAATCCCTGATGCTGAATTAATAAGTTAAAATACTAGATTATGAAATAATAAAAAAAACTCAACCTAAGTTAGTTAGGTGATTACCAAATTATTGTTACCATTTTATAGTTTGATTTTCCCTATTTATAAGTAGAAATTAAAACTTAAATAGGCCTAAGTTGTAACTTATTTACAGATTTTTTGGTGGCGCTGATTACGGATTGACAGGCAAAGCTCTCTCAAAACACTTAATGCTTTTTACCATGCGGTTGGCATTCTGGGTTATAGTAGTTTGTTTTCTGTGGTACCGTATTGATTTCCCTTTGAATTTAATGTAATAATGAGTCTATGAAAGCCCTTTAAATTGTCTAGGTGGTGGAGAGTTTGCGAATTTTACTTTATTTATCTATTTAATCATTTTTTCCAATTTATTAATATACTAGATGGTTTTTATTTTAGTAATAACTTAAGATCCTCACTAATTTTGTGACACTTCCCCTCTCTTCCTTAGATGGCCAGAAATGTTGGCCTACAACCTTTGATTTTTAGCAGGGGTTCAAAGATGAACAAGAGAAACCGGGTAGGCCTAATAAATTATTAGTTTTAAATAAATGATCCTGACTGGTGAACCAGCTAATCTTAGTCAACTAGTAACAAAGCTACAAAGATCATCTTACAACCTTCTTCACTCATCCTTGAGTTAAAATACGCACTTAGGTGGCGTCCCTCCCTATCTCAAATAATTGATAAACTTCTGTTGATAGCCTATAATGTGGCTAATCATCGTATCATCAATATGACAGCAATGAATATGGTTTTGTTGTGTAGGCTACACAGCTAATTATTTTGTCTTCAAATAGATTTGTACACAAACAAAAGTGTACAATAATTAACTCAAGTAGGTTGTTTGGTTTTTAAGCTAATTAACAAAATATTAATTTGTCTGATAAGATTAATTAGGATCAATTTCGTAAAGGTTTTAAGATTATAACCTTGGCTTATAGGCCTATGTCTTTTACCTATTAAATATTTTTTCCTGTAAACAATTTTAACTAATAATACGATTTTTGTCCATTTATAAATTTAATTTTATAGGCTAATTAATTGAATTAATTTCCAAAAAGAATTTGGTCTATGCCTGTTAAAAATTATAACAATAAGATAAAATCGTTCTCCTGTCAGTCTAGCTTCAACAACTTAACAAACAAAGCACAGCATTATTACCCTTTTGTTTGGTTGGATTCAGTGATGTAGATAGTAAAACATTGAACGTTTTACATTTACCGTTTATTAGCTCTGGTTAACCTAGGTTTGTTACAGATGACAGCGGCAGCACCAGTTGCAGCTCCGGTTGGGGCCGCGGCCCCGTCACAGCCGCAGGGCACTAGGTTCATGGTGCAATGGGAGGAACATCCCATGCATCTGGCAACAAGACTCGGCTACCTTCTTGAGCATCAGTCGCTCGTAGACGTCACACTCATGTGTAACACACACACTCTCAAAGTCCACCGTTCCGTACTTGCTGCCTGCAGTCCTTACTTTGAGGTGAGTCGGCGACGTCGGCCTGTTTGGTATTGATTAAGTGAGAACTAATGTTTTTGTGTCAATAATTGGTATTCAGTTTTTGACCAAGCCAAACTTTTTTTAAACGTTAACTATAACATATATTTGATGTAATGAATTTTAAAATAAAGTCAATACCAAGCTTGTAGAGTGGTTAGTGCTAGAGGTTCAGTTCAATTAGCCTACCAATGTTAGTTCTTATTTTATATTGTCACTAAATAGTGGTTTAAGTTGACCTTAAGCTAAAGATTCAATAATTTCATCACCTTCAAAAACCAAAGAGAAAGGGATAATTTAGGTATCATAAGCGCCGTTCACAGGGGGCGAGTTAACAAGCTACACACCGGCTTTTTTACACGCAGCTCGTAAACTAGCTACTTGCTCAAAAGCTGCTTTTAAAAAAGCTCTGGAGAAAGATAACTCCTGCGGCTACTTTACACGTCCATTCGCCAAATTTTGAGCCAGCCAGCGTGTAAGTAGCTCCTTGTGGGGGAGTGTGAACACAGTTGCTTGTGCTTGATATTCGAAGATGTCGGAGGAGTTTAGTTCTAGCTGGAGTTGTAGTTGTAGCCAAAGTTTTAAAAATGAATTGATTAGTTGGCAAGAGCTGTTTTAAAAGCGTATCCCTCAATGGTTCATTTAGCATTGTTTTTATTTTTGATGTTCCACAAGGCTGGGTACTTTTGGTACACTTTTAGGAACACCGATAGACCTTATATTTGCCACAGTCCACTTAATTTTAAATGTTCCCTAACGCCAATACAAAATGAACACAACCAGCAAGATTTCACTAAAAAGCTCAACCAAGTGGTCTGGAAGCCAGCTACTAAGCCAATGGAAAAGCGACCACAACGACTACAAGCGCACTCTCCGACCCATTCTACACGCTGGCATGTAGCTTGTAAACTCGCCACATATAAACGGGGGCTTTAGGCAAGTTAAATGTGCTATCAGTTATTATGCGGCAATATGAAATATGCAATGTGCTATTGCAAAGGGCAAAGTTAAAAGATAACATTACACCTTTCAGATCTGCATCAGCAATTAAAACTATTGAATTTCCCACTAGTAGGCTAAGGGGGGAGCGAGCTGGCGTAGTGGTTAGGGCGCAGAACTTCAGTCCCTGAAGTCCCGGGTTCGATTGCCAAGTCACCAATGGATTTTATCTAAGTGATAGTGCCGCAACCCCTAGGTCTAGTCTGAAGTAATGTGAAAAACAATCCCAGGCTCGTGCCTAGCGTCCTAGGACAAAAAAAAACTAGTAGGCTAAGGCTTGAAAGACCAGGTTGTTATAATTTTTAGCATAATTCCATAAAGTTGCATTGTTTGGATATAAAACGAATCAGTAAGTTATCACCATTATCTATTGGGCTAAAAGTAAACAATAAGCATATTTCAGCAAACTTTTATGAGATGCTGATCAAAAAGTGTGTTAGTTTTGACTCAGAAAGTGAGTTCAAGATAAGAGTTATTAAATTATGTTCTCAATTTCAATTGAAAATAATAAAAATTAATTTTTTTTAAACTGAAGTAGGTAGCACTGGAATATAAGGTTTTAATTATTATATTAGTTTGGGTATGTGTCAATTTATTTGTATGCTGACACAATCTAGATAGTTTTGTGATCTGGTCCTATGTAATTAGTTTGTAAAATCAAATAAATTGATTGTTATAGTCTGTACTCCAAAGGCAGTTGGGGAATCACCCATTGATTGTTCTTAAAGACATGAAATTTTGCGTTCTGAAATCTCTCATCGAGTTCATGTATTGTGGAGAAACTAGTGTCACCGAAGAGAACCTGAATCCTTTGATGGAAGCAGCTAAATTTTTTGAGGTGGGTGGTTATTTATGTATTGCTTAATTTTAATTTGTCTTGTAATTAAAGAATCTTTTGTATGCAGATTAATGACTTCTATTTCCTCTAGGTTCTATGGGTTCTATGTTTCTAGGTTACAGAAATATGTTTTCAATTTTTTAGATAAAAGTAAACATTAAAAATTATCTATAATATCTTGACAGTAAGTGACGTGTCCATGTTTCGCTGGTATTGTAGAAAGGTGCCTAATACGGTGTTTGGTTACATAACCGTGCAAGATAAAGTATGCAACTAGTAAGCACTCGTAAACAAGTAATTAATAATTGTGGAATGTTTAGGTTGATCAGCCCCAAACCAGCTGTTACAGGTGTGGGTGTTGGTCACTTATTAGGGTCTACTGTTACTCAACTAAACTAACACTAAAGGTGACTAGCGAACCCAATAGCGACAAATTACGTTTCTTTAAGCCTTAAACAACTAAAAATACCCCCACCGTAGCACACCTGCGGACTAAACGAATTTATATTTTCCTGATATGTTTTACAATTACACCCATTTAAATAACATTAGGTTTAATGAATACCTAGATTTGCTGCTTCAGGGAGAGCAGTAACTTGTGTTTTTATAAAATACTAGCTGGCCCGACAGACGTCGTCCTGTCCTAATGTGGTTTTATGTCAAATGCTCGTTCATTTTCAAGATGAGCTCGTTCGCATGGCTCAAATCACGTCCTGTTTGATGTTCGTTCGCTACGCTCACTCACCTTTTGGTTGCAGATTAGTTGTTGTCATAAACTAAGAAAAATATAGTGCTGCACCCTGTTGGTAAACCTATTACCTTTTTAATGCTATTGAACATCACAGAATCAAATTGTTTAGTTGAACGAGCTGTTAAGATTCTTTAATTCCATTTAAATATGAGTACTCATAGTGTTAACATTGGAAACTCCAGAGCCACTGGGGCGGAGCCCTTTTGACAGATATGCACCAAACTTCACACAAACCATCCTTGAATAATGCTTAATAATGCCTGATAGTTTCATTACAATCTGTCGAGCGGTTTTGGAGTCCATAAAGGACAAACAAATATACATACAAACAAACATACATTGGATTTTATATATAGATTACAAGTTTCAATCAAATACATTAACCAATTATTATTTCCTTTAAAAACATTTTAATTGTAAAACAGTCAATCTATCCATTGTGAATTAATTTTAATCCGGCATTTTAGGTGAAAGGTCTGTGTACAATGTCCAAAGAAGTGCTTGGTGGAGAACGCCCTTCACCTTCTAAACCAGTGACTTCGTCTACAGCTATCAACGGCGCTACAAGTGGCAGTATCGCTGATATTTTCCCATCAACCACCTATAGAGGTAAATTGCTGTTAATGTAAGAAATTCCTAGATATGGATGGGGTTCTAAAATATCTAGGAAAAATGTATTATTCTATTATTAATTTTAGCGTGGGGTTACATACAACTCAAAATCTACCTGCCTTAGGATTTGTTCCAACCATCAGAAATTTGGCCTTGTTTGCAAGTGACGATGAAGATGTCTTCACAAATTTGCTGGTATAGGGGTGGCGATGATGTCGTCTGCCAAAATCGTTTTTTTTCTACGCCAGTGGCATTTCACAAGAGAAGTTACGAGAGATTAAATGTGTAGTGGATGTGCCGGGGATTGAACCCGTCCCTCTCGCACCGAAGTCCGAGACGCTAACCACTAGGCTAGCAACACAACCAAAATATATCTCTTAAAAAAATCAAATAAAATAAAAATATATCGCTTAAAATATATCTATGATATTGTCGCTACTGCGGGAGTAGATGTTGTCTCTGCAATTGTGGAAGATGTAGAAGATTTACTGCTATGGTGGTTGACGATTTTACCTGGGTTGTGAGTGATGTTCACACAATTTACTGTAATTGCGTGAGATATTCATCATTTTGCTGTTATGGCAAGTGACGATGCTGATAGCCCGGATAACTTCAAAATCACTAATTACACTCAAGATGATAACAAATAGTACAATGAAGACTGTAAATTTGTTTTGATTGTCATTATAGCCATTTGCAAAAAGTTACTCAATATTTTAAAAACAAATTCAGGTTTCCCTTGTTGCACAAGAAGTAAAAGCTTGTGAAAAATCCCGTCCGTAACTAAAACTGCAATCTCATCGATCCGCGGACATATTCTTTAAAATACCCCCGCCGCAGCAAACCTGCAGACTAAGCGAATTTCCATTTGACTGATTGGATTTACACTGAAATGTCTACTTAAAAATATAACATGTATTCTTGATTTAAATAGAATTAGTTTAACAAGTACTTAGGTTTGCTGCATCAGGGAGGGTAAAACTGTTTTTTTTTTTTTTGTAAAATGTGAATAGTTAGTAAGAAATAAACACATTTTCCAAATTTGATCAAAATATGTTCACAAACAAGCAAACTACAACAGTTTACTTATTCTCCATAAGAATAACATGGGAATTTTAAATTTACAATTTTTTGAAATTTTCTCCGTAACCATTAGGCGCATGATAACGCTTCAATATACTAAATTATTTGTTTTTTTAAGCTCTACAAAATGGTTTGGAAAGAAATTGCTAAATTTTATGTTTTTTGGGTCAAAAATGGGAAAAACCTATTTTTACCCCATAAAACCCCCCGTAAACCCTTGTTCCCATGGTCCGATCATGCTGGATCGCGAACTCGTTCGAATAAACGTACGTTTACACGTTTGTACCAAATTTCATCAAAATCGGATCATTTTTGCTCGAGTTATAGTGCTGACGGACACATATAATAAATAATTTATTTTTGTAAAAAAATACAACCGACTTCAATTGCTCTAAAAAGAATGAAATAATTTCAATAAAGTAAACTTTTGTATTAGGCAAGCTCACATATTTTAAGTCGGCGCGGCTCTATGATGATTTTTGATGCAAAATTGAAAGAGGGTGTCCATATTGCAGGTGACTATCTATAACTAAAGGTGTTAATCTGCATATCTTTTTCATAGTTATGCGTTAAGTGTTATTTTATTACCGTTATCAGAGATCGGCATCATAGTGGTATTAACGAGTCTCTTTAAAAAGATTATAACGCATTTAAATGTTTCTAACTTGGAAAAGTAACGTTTTAATACTAAACTAGCTTCTTTTCCCTATCATAATATCAAACTAAATTATTTTCCTATTCATATAGAACATTTGTGTGTGTTATTTTCATAATGCATTTATTCTGAAGTAAACATAAAATACAAGAAAATATTTCCTTTAATATATAAACAAAACAGTTCAGTATGTTTTTTATATATTTATGTTATCCAGCTACAATTTATTGATTTTCAAAATACACACACAATATTTAATTTCAATCATAATTGCAGTTTGAGCCGCGCCGACTTGAAATACGTGAGCTTGCCTAATACAAAAGTTTACTTTATTGAAATTATTTCATTCTTTTTAGAGCAATTGAAGTCGGTTGTATTTTTTTACAAAAATAAATTATTTCACGATTTTTAGTGACTGTATAATTTTTTATATATTAATTACTTGAGGATTTTTGATAAGCAAAACTGTTTGAAACAATCAAAAGTTCCACAGAACAATCATTATTTTAAAACTGCTTGAGTCACCTGTTCAGGTTACATAATCAATGGGTATGGCAATAAACATCTTTAAATATTCCTTAAGAAAGAAAGAGTTGTCCATTACATTAGGCCTAATGAGAAACTAATTGTCTTTTCTAGATACATTGAAATGTCAGACATCATCGTTTCCTCCAATCGGTGTACTTCTACATTATACAAAGAAATACAGTAACGTCTCAAGCCTTTTGGAACAATATGAAAGTTATTCCTCAGCAACCAGCACTAAAAAATCTCTCAAAATTGGTCGTTAACACCATAGTACCTTTCGTATAGTACCTTTGGAAAATATTATATGAAAGATTGGTCAGCTAAAAGTGGTGTAAGTCATGTAGGGGGTTTTGTTTGCTCAAGATATAGCCTAGTCGAAATTGCAAATCATCTTCCTCTAGGACTTTCCGAAGCAGGCATAATAGTATTGATATGTTATAGTAACTGGGAAGAGAATATTAATAAACATTCCACATCTGCAAATGAAATATGTATATGAAAGATTGGTTCAGCTAAAAGTGGTTCAGGTAAAAGTGGCTAAAAGTGGGTCCTAAAAGTGGTAGTGTGGCCATGTAGGTGGTTTTGTTTGATCAGGATATAGCCTAGTCGAAATTGCAAATCATCTTCCTCTAGGACTTTCCGAAGCAGGCATAATAGTATTGATATGATATAGTAACTGGGTAGAGAATAACAATAAACATTCCACATCTGCAAATGCATGTTTAGTAATTAAAATATTTAACACTTTTAAGACAATTGACGATTATGCACTGTCACACTTCTTAGGTCGTGTAAGGAATAATTAATTGCATTTGCTTTATATTTAGACCTGTTTTACGAATGCTTTGGTTTTCACAATACACCTTTATTTGTCAATATCATACAGCTATTCACTGAAACATAAATGTTTTTGTAAGTCAGAATATTCAATACTAAAAACTGAATTACTGTATACACAAATCAGGTCAAACGTTAAAATACATTTTTTATAGTAACCAAAACAAAATGCATTTTTTCAATGTAACTTTTAGGCTCCATGGCAAGAAATAGTTTATTGATCAATATGAAGCAACTGTTTCATGAAGAATTGTCTGTAGCTTCATTTAAATGGTTTCAACTAACAGCTGTAGGAATGCTATTATTATTTATTGCCTTCTCTGCACAAATGTAAACAAAATAAATGTTGAATATTTAAGGTTTTCAGAATTTTTCACCGAAACAAATATTATACTTAAACATAATATATAAGGTACCAAATAGAAACTCTCCTGGTTATTTTGGTGGTGAAACCACACTGATCGGTAAAAGAATCACAAAGAAATTGGTGAACATACATAGAAAAAAAAAACATCGCCACAAACAAATTGAGAACCTCCTCCTTTTGTTGGTAGTGGGGAAGTCGGTTAAAAAAGAAAGTGCTGTGGATCCACATAACACAAGATTCAAAAATATTATAAAACCAGTTCAACATAGGCTTAAAATCTTTCATTTATCCACTCAGCATATGGGACCAAAAATTTACAATAAATTACCCGCTGGGATTAAAAACATTGCCTCATTCTCTAAATTTAAACTATCTTTAAAAAATTTCCTTTTGGAGAGGGCATTTTACTCGTTAGAGGAATATCTGGAAAATGAGTATATTTGAAAGATATTGCTTCTCCCATAGGTTTGTAGCTTATTATATGCTTTATTTCTTTTGTAAGCTATTTTATTTTAAAAAGTAGTATAGTATTAGTATTAGACTTTGTGACAAATCACCTGTCAAGAGAATTGATGTAATGTGATGATGTTTAATAAATAAATAAATATATATATATGAATTTGAACGGATGGTGTTTTTGGCCTCTAGGGACCTCAAAACGAAAAAAAAAATCTGTCCCGCGTCCAGGTCTTACCATGAGTACTACGGTAATAGCTTATTCCCTATATGGGAAATTCGCTAAAACTGTTAAGGATTATCGAATTACTGTTATAGATACTAAATACTGATAGTTATAAAGTTTTCCTGATGAGATATCAAATTTGTAATAAATTCCTGTACCTGTGGAGGTTGCAAATTACAAATACCCATTTTTGCTGCAAAATCATTTATAGGATGCAGCAACCAATCTGCCAATGTTGTATTAATCATCAGATAATGACCAGTAAATATATATTTGACTGAGTCAAAAGAATGATCTACTGACCATGGTTAATACACTTAAGATTGATGTAGAGTAACTATGAATGGCCTAAGAATATTCTTAGGATTCTAAGATTATTCTTAGGTTGGACTAGTTATGTTAAAAATTAACCTTTTTTAATTTATCTTTAATTGTCATAGGCAGGGGACGTCGTTCTGGAGGAGCTAGAGGACGCAGAAACTTGGCTACAATGTTGATCCCTCCCCCTCAAGGAGCTCCGCAGTCTGAGACGGCTCAAATCATGCTTAGCCTTTCCAACAACTCCACTTCACCGACACTACAAACTACCAGCCGTAATGTAAGAATCAGTCCCAATAGTCGCTTAGGACGTTCTTTACAACCTGCCTCCACTATCCTTGACAGTACAAACCTTCTTCGTAACGGATCTTTAACAACAACAGATTTGAAAGCACTTCGAGAACAGCTCAATCTAGAACCCCGGAGGAGGGGTCGAAGACGTCAGACGTTTGGAATGGGACGAGGTAGGATAAAAGATCTAAGTGACACAAAGTTTGGAATACAAAATATCAAGAAAGAGATGGAGGATGTGTCTCACAAAGATGGACTTGTCTGCAAACCTCTTGAGTCAAAATTGAATGTAGTCAACAATAATGGAAACAATGATGCTCAGAGTCCTTTGTTAGCGTCTTTACTCTCAAAAGCCGAAGCTCTTGCCAAAGCCAAAGTTAAAACAGAAAATGAATGTGATGACGGGCAGACAACAGAACAGGAAACAATTATGTATCAGTTTGATGGAGAATCTAGCGGAGCGACTAAGTACTTGGACGCTCTTAAAGAAGCCGGTCTGCCTACTGATGTACCTGTATTGATTGACAACGGAGATGGCAACTATGTGACTTTAACTGAAGATGTCCTCATGAATGTTTTAGGCAACAACGAGGAGTTCCAGTTCCAAGTCACTGAAGCTACACTCGAGCAAGGAGATGTAAGTGAAGGGGTTGTTTTACAAGATGGGACCATCATGATGACAGGCAAGAATGGGAAATCTGATATATCTGGTCCTCTACTCACCGTTTCCAAGAAACCCATAACGATTAAGGGTGTGAGGGAGGTCAAAGGGAAGAGGGGACCAAAACAGAAGCATCTTATTGTCAAAGACATGTTGGCCAAAAAAAATACTGGAATTGAGACAAGTCCACAACCAAAAGCTGTTAAAAAAGCTAGCAATAAAAAATCTGTCCAAGAACTTATAAATGAAGCCGTTCTAGAAAGTTTAAAGAATGGAGCTGCTAGTGAAGCAGAAGCAGACCCTGATGCAGTCGTTCTTTTTGAAGTTACTGGCAACGATAAAGTAAATAAATATGTTGTGTCGTCCAAAGAAGTTAATGCTCTCAAAGCTATGAATGAGCAGATGGAAAAACAGAAGAAGCTGAATTCACCAACTGAAAAGAAATGTGCATTATCTTCAACAGTGATAGATGGCAACACAAACATCGCTGAAATAAAACTTACTGTTCCCAAAAACTCTAGGAAATCCATTGTTTCTGAAGTGTTGGCAAGAGCACAAAGTCTAGAGAGCCAAGTGAAAGGTAGTTTGCTCAACGATGTTCCTGACTCATCACCAAGTAAGAGTGATGAAATCAAAAACGAAGCAAGATCTCCTCAAATGCTTGACATGAGTATAACATCAGATGTTCTAAATGACAGTTCTCAACTAATTAACATTAATTCAACAAGTGACAATCTTGAAAATTCAACTATGATAGATCTTGAGGAAGAATCTCAAATTTTGGGTGTAGATCATTCTACTGCAATTTTGGATGAGGAAAATTCAATGGTAGTGTTGAATGAAGAAAACCAAATAATAGAATTGCAAAAGCATCATGATACCATCCATATGTCTGGAAATGAGAATCTAATTGTTGTGAACGAAAGTGTACAAGACACAAATCAAGAACAGGTAGATTCAATTGAAGAGCCGAATGAAGATTCACAGCTTATGCAAATTAGTGAAGTTTCTCAAGAAATGGGACCAGAAGAAGCGTCTGAAGGAATAAGTGTCAGCGCTGATGAGACAGACCCTGCGACTAGGAGGGATATGCCATTGCTGGAAAATGAATCACAGCTGGTAGAGTTTGAACTGATCGATGGGAGTGGCTCAAAAATAAAATCTTACAAAGCATTTACAGTTGATGGGAACATATTAAGTCAAAAAGAAATATCTGAACTATCTAGACTAACTGACCAAAACAAAGATTCAGATGTAATTGGACTTTTAGATATGGTGTGTGAGGAAGCAGCATCAAACGATATTGATAGTCAGGTCGATGATGAGAGTGCTAATAAAGAAATCATGCCTTCACATAATTCCGTTAACCCAAACATCACCTCTCTTGAACCGGATTGCTCGTCATTCAAAGTGGTGGAAGCGGAGAAAGGGTGTTATAACCTAGTCCCAGTAGAAAAAGACTTTGGTCAAAGCACTGGGAACTTGTTGAAGTACACTGTTATGTCCGAGAAAGTGGATTTTGAAGGAGATGAATCAACAAGCTTTAATGCATCAGGCACAGAGCATTTGGTGTTGGAAGAAGTACAAAACATGAATACTGCTAGTTTAAACTCAACTGAGATGTCCTTAGACGGTGGAGAATGTCAGGAGTTGTCTGTTGAACAAGCCCTACAAGCTATGATGGGCGATGAAAACAGTACTGGTATAGAGACCCAAGATTTTTCCCAAGGAGACGAGGAAAAAATTGTAAACGACGAAAAACCGTTAACCGAGGATCCTAGTGTACATTCAACGGAAGGTGAAACATCACATAATAATGTTGATACGCAAAAATTCGAGTTTGTGTATGAAACGTCAGAAAACCCTGTTAATGAGGAAGCTGCTATTTCCGCTCTAAATCCGCTACCTGAAACTAGTACTAGTGATGTTCTGTCTAATATGATAATAACGAAATCAGAGGAGACTTCTAAAGAAGCTAATGAGAACCCTACAATTGTCTCTCCGACAAAAGATGTACCATTCGCTGTTGGTCTTCTACCTTTAAAAGATGCTCTTGTCCAAATACAGTCAACTCCTGATCATCAGCCCCGAAAAACAAGGTCAGGAAGTACTAGTAAACCAGAAGTCATAGGAGCTAAAAGGAGATCATCTTCAGAAAATTCATCAGATGGTCCTAGTAAAAGAAGAAAAAGTTTTGAAGACGGAGATATTCCTACTACCCGCAATGAAGAGGAAGAAAGTGTTACGTGAGCGTTTTTTTGGTATTTGAACCACTCTTAATCCAAGTTTTTTTCAGGTTTTTTGTTTTGTTTTTATCTAATTGATGAACAGTTTTATTTTTGTTTGGCGGGTTTTTTGTCTTTGTTAACTGTTATGATGAGTTATACTGTACATAACAGATTCTGTTGCTGTTTATAAAATTTTAACAGGGAATATGTAAAGTGTAAATACTCTTAATTTATTCTCTCACATGTCTTATGAACATCACAGTTGTATGCCATAATGTATCATGTTAAGAAGATTGTGTTGGTTAAAACCAACTCGCAATTTTAATTTTTTACAATGTTATCTAATTTTGTATTAGATAGTACACTCAGTCATCAATTTAAGTTTTTTTTCTATCTTTAATAAAGTTTGTTTTTCACCAAGGTTTTTTGTCTTGTAGTCTTAATGTGATGTTTTAGGTGTATTTTATTTATGTAAAATTTTAGATGTAATTAAAAAGTTGGATCCAATCCTAATAAGTTGGATATAATTTAGAAAAAGTATGGATTTTATCCAAAGGGTTGACATTACCATCAAATGAAAAGGAAATATATTTTGTTAATATTTTTTTGTAGCAGTCTAAAGTAATACTATCTAATGTAATGCCAATTTGATCTTAATCTAAATATTTTTTGATATTAATTCATGTATCCTCATCCTCCTTTAGATGAAACATTCTACAAAAATGTATTTTCCTCACATTAAATTAGAGTTATTACCAAAATTATTTTTATAATTTTATTTTGCATGCAAAACTGTGGAATGTTAGTAACTAAGCATGTTAATTTGTGATTAGAAAATTAATCAAAGGTTAGCTTGACATTTTGAGATGATTAGTGTGGAATGGATGTGAAATTCATTTTCAACCAAAAAGATGTTTTAGCTAGGTTAACCAGGTGTTCTTTAGGTTAACAGAACTTCTTTACCTGATGACTTATCAAAAGACTTATTTATCTTCATCCATCTAATCTAAAGTATTCTTGTATGGATTTAAATTTAACCAATTAAAAAAAAAACATGTTTATGATAGTTGTTCAGAATCTTTTGCTAAGCTGTCAATTACACAACGACATTGTTTGGAAACTGTTATTCAAAACATTTGTCCTTGCTTTAATTCCACTAATTGTGTTTTGTTTCCAGCCAATATGTGCTTATTTTGTTTTTATTAACTCAAATTAAAAAATTCCAGTTATAACTTCGTACCTCATAAAAATCGATTTACATTCAGCTTCTTTTTTTCTGTTGCTACTAAGTTTTTCTGTATAATGGGTCCAATTTTCTTTTCAAGTTGTGTTTAATAATGAATTGTATCATGTGGGTTTTAAAACTTGTTATTTATTTTGTAATTTCTTTTATTGTTACGTGTTAGGAAAAAGCAAAATTATTTTTATAGTATTTTTCATTTTTTGAAAATTACAATAAACTTATAACTTAAGTAGTATTTACCTTAATAATCGCCTAATCTTTAATTTTTGGTTGAGACCTATGTGTTTTTGGTGAAATTATCTTTAGGGTCTTCTTTAATGATTTAGTCATAAAAATAATTATATAAATATGGTCAGTATATTTAAACTTAATACATACTTAATGTTCACCTTCTGTAAACACCTAACCTCAATTTAGGAATTTGTGATACATGATGTACACAAAAAGTAATTAACACCAATCTGAAAATCCTGAAAATGGTTGATCTAACTCAGGGGCAATTTACCGAATGGGCACATGCCTATGGCGGGAGGCAATTTATAACTTAAGAAGGGTCAAAAAATTGGAAATTAAAAAATAATTTAGTGGTTGTATTTGCATGCGGTCTCAGTAAACTTCTGATAATCCCTCACGGCTGTGTTGACATCATTATCGTCTCCTGTCGCCGTATGGACATTGTAATCGTCTTCCATGATCGCGGCAATATATGAACATATCCCGTGGTCATAAGGAGATTATCGTAGTCTACCGCGAATGAGGCAAAATTCTGATTTTCCCGCAGTCGTGTGGACATTATCATCAGCTTGAACCGATTGCGGTAAAATTATGATAATCCCTCAGGGCCGTGAAGACATCATTATTGTATCTCCCTTGGTCCTGTAGTGATCGTAATCGTCTCCAGTGGTTGTGAAGACATTGTAAACACCTACCGCAATTGCGGCAGAATGTTAATCATATCCCGCAGTTGTGTGAAGATCACCATCGTCTTCCGCGGTGGCGGCAAAATTCTTACCGTTTCCCGCGGTCGTGTGGACATAATCATCATCTTCTGTGATCGCGGCAATATTCTGATCATCCCTCGCAGCTCTGTATATATCATCATCACGTTACGCAATCACGGCCAAATCATTATCATAACCGGCGGTCGTTTAGACATTATCATCGTCTTCTGCAGTCGCGGCAAAATTCTGATTATCCCTCGCTGACATATTGTCATTTCCTGCAGTCACAGAAACGTCATTTTTGTCATGCGATAAATTGAATTTTACAGGTAGAAATACAAAATTCACTCATAATTCCCACTATAAAAAAAATCACGCATAATTCCTGGATTTTATAGTTGGTGGACACCCGTATTGTAAAGGGACGCTACTTTACCGAGGGTTATGCCTAAGGCGCTGACATGGTCAAAAACGGGCCTGAACTAAATTTTCTGTAAAAATCTATCTGTACAATGCTAAAACTGAATAAAAAACGCTATTCAACTCACTTAGGCTATATATTTATAAACTTTAGTTACTTCAAGTCGTTTAAATAAAATTTTACAAGAGAGAAAATTGAAAAAAAAACAATCAATTCTATTAAAGTACTGTCAAATTCAAGAACTCAGAAATGGTAATTGATCTTTTTAAATTTGTGAGTTGGTGGCTCAGTTGGTGACAACACAGTCTTGGGTCCAAGGCAGCAACGTCCTAGGGTACCTGGCCATTACTTTTGTCAGTACAGTTTGCCCTTGTACCTGTACCGGCTCACCTCTTGCTTTTCTAGATTCCACACACAAGCCAGAGGCCTACGTGGTTAGGGAAATGCAAGGTTTCAGTTATCTCTTAATGGCGCTATGGGCCTGAAAGATAATTGTGCTCCCTTCCCCCTTTTCTTGCGCCCTGGTCCCAGGTCCATTTACTAAAGCAACCCTGAAGAGACCAATATTTTATTTTTTATGGAAAAACATCTTTTAACCCTTCCAGGGCTATGGACGGATATATTCGTCAATCTTTGTTTACTTTCCAGGCTGAAAACGGATATATCCGTCCCGAGAAATTTCTTTTCTGGGATAAAGACGGATATATCCGTCCAAAAAGCGAATTGATACACAATGTTTATAATACGGTAATAAACATTACACTGCATTATAAATGGGTTATTTTGTTTTTGTGGTTGGCAATAATAAGTGCCGCAGCTGTTTCGGCTATTTTGCACCATAGAGTGTACGTAAGTAAATATTGCTGTCACTTCACACATGGTTGTAAGTGAGTGATGTTTACATTTTGTGTTTGTACTTTATTTTTATGTTATTGAGCTAAAGTTAGTAATGCAAACGATCTGAAAATTGAAGATGTTATTGAGATGCTAAATAAAAGTATGTCTGAGAGGGGTTTTATACTTGGCAGGGAAAATAATAGTATGGAATGTGATGGATATGATGAACCTGTCTTTACATAGTGGAAGTCTTGGCGGGGAATGGGATTGAGGACATGTGAGCAAAACTGAGTGGTTTAGATTTACTTCAGAATGATAGATACATTTTTACGGATAAAAAATAAAACGAGGGAAGGAATAGCCTAAGGTTGACGGATATATCCGTCTACCGCCCACAAGAATACTCAAGATTATTGGCAGTGTTCATATTTTGTGATTATCACTGAGGACGGCAGACGGATATATCCGTCCACCTTATGTTTTTTGTGGGCCAAAGACGGATATATCCGTCAAATCAAATTTTATTTTCTTCATAACTTTTGTACAAAAATTAGTTCAGCCCTAAGGAAAATCTTTTTATGATCCATGAATTATTTAAAGTAAAATAAATACAAAACACAACCACTTTAGTTTTTAATTTTTGGCAAAAAATAATTAAGCTCCAGCCCTTCATTTAATTTAGCCCTGGAAGGGTTAATGTTAATGAAGGTTTTTTTAGTCACAAACTGGATTCGTTTAACATGCAGACTCTCCTGAGGAAACAACATCGGTAAAAAACCATACATTTTTACTTGCACTCTCCACCACACAATATATTTGAGCATATTTTGTGCTAAACCAAATTTTGTATAAATATAGTTAGTGAAATTGGTCAAAATAATCTAGTAATTGAAAACACTTTATTTAAAACTATGCATGGAGATATTTGTTGTAACCATTTTGTACAAATATGTATAGAAATAATAAGTAGTGTAGATTTTAAGTTGTAAAAAGAGTTCTTGATCTCTCTAGCTGTTTGTGTGTAAGGTCTCGTTTGTACATAAGATTTTAATGTTCACCCATCAAAGAATGCCTTGGCAACCTTATTTATAGTAATATATTAACGATATTATGTAACGTGAATGTATATTTGTAAAGAATTAGCAATCTTGCTTCATCTGTTCATTACAGGTAAAGTCTTTTAGTTTTTTATTATAAAAATTTATCTAGAGATTTATTCTGAGCGTTGATATTTTGAGTTTTAACTAAAGATATAGTTATGGTAGTATTTGAAAGTTTGTGTGTGTGTTGCGTTAGCTGTAAGGAATGATTTCCTTTGATTTTCGTGTTTTCATCCATTCAAATTTGAAATATTATCCAGCTTATAGATGTTAGAGATAATTTTTCATCCACTGGTAATTTAACTATGTGATACAACCAAATGTCAGCAAAGAAATAGCACCTTTGTACAGTGTTTAATTTTGTACAAAATTAAAGTTGTCCAACAGTAATCTCTTGGCTATTCTTTAACCTTAGCCTGTCTTAAACTTTTGGTTGGGTCAAACTAAGAAAACAGGTCTTATCTTTACTGAGCTCAGAAATTTGTCGTGTTTATTTGAGTATACCTAGAAGTTAATTCCCACCAACTGAAAAGAAACATTGCTAAAAATAAACTTACAGTAGAAAGTTTATGTTATACTCCACCACTCTAAAAAACATAAGGTATTTTCTTTGACTATTAATAATTTTATTAAGGAACTGGCCCTGGTACATTTCACACTAAAAAATATTAAATGTTGAAAATAATATATAAAATAAAAGAAGTGCCCTTTTCCCCTTTTTTATTTAATAAAACAACATGTTTCGTCTATAATAGCATCTTCAAGTGTTATTAAAGATTAAACTGTGGCCACAGATGTGAATGTAATCAGTCCAACCTTCTCCCAAAGATATCAAGTAAAGCCACAAAGGAAGGACTGGATCTACAGTAAATATTTCATCATTGTTCTTTCACAATAATGTACAATAAAATATATGGCTAAACTTTATATATGAAAATATGACACTAATTCATCTGTGTTATAGAAAGGTTTTTACTTTAAATTTTAAAACTATGTGGTAATTTTCAAAAAAATGTAACAGCTGATAGTATCTTTGTTTATAAAAAAAGTGTTATATTAAATGTTTACAATTGAAATACAATCGATTAAATAATTAATTTGAATTTGTGTCAATTGGTTTTTTGAAGGCAGGAAAATGGCAGTGTTTTTAAGTTACGTTTTGCTAATAGTTGGTGCTCTGGTTTTAGCTGGAATTGGTGTTCTTATTTCTTTCCTGGGCGAGAAAGCCTGTCTCTCAAGACAATGTGTTGGTCAAGCAAAATTCATAAAACGTGCAATGGACAAAAACTTGAATCCTTGCGATGACTTTTATTCTTTTGTTTGTGATAACTACCCACTGTTTGGTACTTCAATTTTAGAAGAAATAGAAACAAACCAGTTGAAGCGTTTGGTGGATTACCTAGAGATAACTTCTGATTGGGAGGATGATGATAGGCTCGAGCACATTGGGAAAACGTTGTACCAAAATTGTGTAAACGACACGCAGCTCACGTTAGAAGGACTGAGACCTCTTCAGAGAGTGATTGCGAGAATAGGAGGAATACCTTTCCTGGATCCCTTTTGGGACTCGGAAAGATCAATTGAGTTTAACGTAATCGATAATGACTTGAAACACTTTTTCAACGGTTTAAATTCTATTTTCGTCTACAACAGAATAATAAGAATGAGAAAAGATCCCTCTTTGAAGCCAAAGAATGAAACCCAGGCAGAGATAAGACAATCTTTATACCAGACATTTTCAATCCCACCTCATTTTTACACTGCTGAGCCCTATGATCCTAAAAACTACCTGCAATATTGTATAGAGTTCAATGATTTGTATAGTACTAGTCTGTCGATTAATAAAACAATAACAGACGCTGAAAAAAAGGAAATAATCGAAGCTGCAAAATTTAAAATAAAATTGTTGAAGCTGGCTGACTTTAGCAGAAATTGTTCTGAACAACCTTTTAGTTTTGTGGAGTTATCTTATGATAAGACCTTAGGCAAACCAGATCCTAAAAAGGAATCATCGACTGTAAGGTTAAATGCGTACATAACTAGAAAAGCAGAACCTGGTATTACTGAACAAGATTATGGGTTGGTGACACCGAATTTTGATATCTATATAGATCAACTCAATGAGCTCTTAGACACAGTATCTAACCGAGTTCTTGCCATCTACATGGGAGTAGAGGCTTTAGTTCAAATTACTCCTTTTCTTCCTCCTGAATATAAAGACATTTATGAGAAATATTTGGAACATGAAAAAGATAAACAGAATATAGTGCTTAGCGACAAGCAACTTCACTGTGCGAAGCTTGTTAAAGACGCCATGACTACCGCAATCACTGCTCAGTACCTTAAAGATAATCCAAAGAATGTCAATGAACTTGGAATATTAAATCAATTAGTTCATCCATTGTTAAGAGAAGTAAGAGGGGTGTTAAAAAAAATTAAATGGGCTAGTCGCGAAGATCATTTGAAAATGGTACGCTTGGCAAACAGAATTAAAATTGTTTCTCCTTTACCACCGCGTGTATATGAAAAGATGATGAACAAAACGGCCTTTGACTTATTTTATCTAATAATGTGTTCCAATGACGAGAGTACCTTGGAGACGTATTTGTCTGTGAAAACTGTAAAATATATTAGAAACGCTCAATTGTTAAATATGAAAAGTGACACTAGTAGTGAGCCTTACGATTATACAATTTTTCACGACGATTACGACATATTTGAAACAGAAATATATTTTCAACGAGATTCCAACATGATCGTTGTGCCAATGGCATACTTGTTCTATCCATCCCTCGATAGCTTGTGGCCCAAGTACTTGAGCTATGGAGGTTTAGCGATATGGATTGCTCATAAGGTGATCCAAACAGTGGGCTATAGCAACGTCCTTTATCCAGAAATTAAACCAGAAGCAGCAATTACTCAAAGTTGGTGGAAAGAAGACACAATTTTGGGCTATAAAACTAGAAGGGAATGCGCTTTTCAAGAATACAATGAATATCTCAAACCATTCAATATACAGAGCAATGATCCCAACTGTTTGGACTACACTTTATACACTGCTGCTGCAGTTCAAGCTGCATACTTTGCATACAAAGAAGATACAAGAATGCGGTTTTTTGTTGAACCAAGAATTCCTTACCTAGCGGGATACACAGTGGATCAAATATTCTTTATCAAATTTGCATCCTCGTTCTGTCGGTTTTATGGAGGAAAAAATGTATGGTACACAAAAGAAACTGACAGTTCAAGAGTTTCTCCAAACTTCACTGTTTTATACAGCCTGAGAAACTTTCAACATTTTAGTGAAGCTTTTGAGTGTGAGAAAAAAGAAAAAATGAGGAAGGCGGAGCCATGTGAAATGTGGACACCTGTGATCAAACCAACTGAATAAATTGTTTTGTGACACATTTTTATCCAATTGCATTTTGCAGCTTTTGCAAGATATGTAATTTTTATAATTTTACTGTTATAAGTTTTGTATTGTATTTACTTTATTTTATAATTTTAAAAATGTTTACCAGTACTTAATATTTTTGCTGTATACAGTATTTCTTTTTAATCGAAGTAGCCTATATGTATATTGGATTTATCATCTTTAAGTGGATTCAATCATAATACAAATTTTCCCCTGTTAAGATTAAATTTGTGTCTTAGAGCTTAAAGTTTTGGCTATCCACATCTAACTTACAGTTTCCCAGTCTAAAAAAAGATACCTATTAATCTATATATTAATACGCAAGCAGTTTTCTTTTCACAGTCATAACTCAATAACGGCTTGATTGATTTTAAAGTTTGAGGTGTCAAATTAAATTTATTTTCTCTATATATTAATACGCAAGCAGTTTTCTTTTCACAGTCATAACTCAATAACGGCTTGATGGATTTTAAAGTTTGAGGTGTCAAATTAAAGGTATTTTCACGTAGATGTGCAAATACGTCTCAGATTATTTAGAAAGGGCACCACATAAGTACACTTAAGGGCTAAAGTTTGGAAGGCGGTGCTATCTGTTGACATTTGATCAAACTCATTTCCCTTTGTTTACAAATGTAGTTTAAAATAGTTTTTAAGGTTAACCACAGACTGCAGGACTTAAAACTTCCAGAGCAAAGCTGGAATTTAAATTTTGTTTCAATCTGTTAACTAAGTCTGGTTCATAATGAAGAGTTTCCTATCAATACTAGACAACAAAGTGTTTAAGAATAAATATTTAATAAATATTTAATTCTTTTTGTCTATGATTAAATCACGAATACTAGAAAAATACCGGTATGGATCATAAACAATTTAACAAATGACGTTGTTGGCCTGAATCCTATACTAAAAGCATTGAACATATATGTTTTGGCAGTTCCATTTAAGCAATGTTAAATAATGTTTATTTTAGGACCAAAAACGTCATTTGTTTATGTTTATGATCCATACCGGTATTTTTCTAGTATTCGTGGGTTAAATTGATTTACCTTACATCGTATTTTACTGATTATCATGTAGATACAGTTCGATGTGATGAAGTGAATGTTTAAAAGTGATTATTCACAGGGCAGTTATCCGTTACATTACCATATTATCATGTAATTTACAATGTGTATCAAAATTCCAATTCCTTTATAGTGTTTTCTGTTGTTTGTTTAACTTTCTTATTTCATTTCAATTTCAAATCAAATGCCGCCAGTACGACGAAGAACTGTGAGTGGCTGGAGGGATCGCGAACATGACCGCTTGCATCAACCTCTCAATTGAACATTTGATAGGTTCATAGTGGTAGTACCACCGTTGTGATAGTCCAATCTCGGACAAATGAACGTTAAATGTTTACATTGTAGTGGCTTACATATTTTTAAGCAAGAAAAGACTGGCCGAGACTGTTCAGTTTGTACTCATAAATGAAAGGTTCGTTTACCTCATTTGTGCAATTCACCACAATAAACTTCGGGTTCTTATTGGAAACTCACAATCTGAAAATAGGACTGTGAGACTTATATCCAGAAATTATTTGGATTAAGTTCGTCAATTCAGTTCTGCCTTTACCATGGTCAGCTCCAAAGCTCATTAAGATGAGAAAGTTCCACAATTTTAAGATCCGTGACACGTTTTACCACCGAGTGGGTCCTCTAATTCCTCAAGAATGTGATGATCCTGAATACGCACAGATGTATATAAGTAAGTACAATGTTACTAGAACCCAAAGGACCAGGCACAATTGTGTGTAAGCACAATTAAAAAAAAATCAATGAAAAAGATATACGGGAAATAGGGTTACAATACCAACCCATTTGCAAATCTTTGAAGACTGTGGCAGACATTATGTAGGGACGTGAGCTCCGAGGAGTCAAGTGAGATTCTTATTTACATAATAAGAGACAGAAGAAGTGTCTTCCCTCGCTACAATGGTGCTACCTGTGTAGATTTCGCAGCAATTTTTAAAGCTGAAAACAAAGCACCACCTGGCCAAATAAATCGTATAGTTTTTTCCAACACTAATAATGTTAAACGTGTATCCATTATAGATCTGTCGTTAGATCCACTTGCTTACCCTCTTATGTTCTCAACCGGAGACTTGGGTTGGGGCCCCTAATTTAAGCACGCCTAAAACAGAACACATCAAAGAAATAATTTAACAATGCTGGAATAAGAGTAGTGATGGTTGGCGTCAAGAGAGGAATTGAGCTACATTATGTCAAAAGCTCACTTTACAGTGTGTGGTTGACATCTACGTCCTCATAAAGTACACCCGCCTACTATACAGAGATAACCAAAGCAGTATGAGAGTGAATGTAAATTTAAATATTGTAGATTGCTTTTATATTTTTTTACATCATAATATTTTTATATTTCTATAATCAGTCATATAAATTATTTTAGAGTGACTCTTTGATTAAGGTTTTGCTGTTTATGTTTTTTGTTTATTTTTTATACAATTTCAGTTTTGCTCGATTTCGAGCAACATGTTATCTAGTTGTAGGTTAACACCAAACACGTTTTTGAATGCCAATGTTTTCTTCTCAGTGGTGTAGTGGAGCGGGACCGGTATTCCCTATCAGATAAAAAAAACTATATTATCAATAGACAAACCATGGTTTCCTGGAGAAGATCGTGAACGTTCCCACAATGGAAAATTTACGTCTACACCACTGTTCCTACGGAGGTTTGCCAACGATCCTGATGAGAGTTGCAAAAAGTTATGGAACGGACATAAAAAATAAGTCCTAGAAGACGGCGCCAGATCCCAACCTGCATAAAAGTACTAAAAACAATCGTAGCAGAAACTAGTAACTTATCAGTATACCCTGAGCAACGAATGTACCCCATTAGGGAGTTTAGTAATTGTAAAAAGTTCATATGAAGCTTCTCCCCCCCCCCCCATCTAGCAAAGCCAGAGTTTGGATCACCCCCATTCAAAAATGACACCAAAATATGTATTTGAGAACAGTATTGTTATCAGTTTATATTAGCATGATCATTTTATGATGTAAGCTGTATTTTTAAAGCTGTCACGAAAATCATATCATTCAGTAGGCAGAGCTATCATTTTGAAAATAGTTAACTTATGGTTATGGGCCCTGCAGATATTTTCTTCATGAGGCTAACCAGTGCCTGTTTCAGTATGATGCCCTTTTCCTCCCACAAACAAGTTGTAAAAAGCCTTAAAATATTATTCTTGGCAGCCTAAACACTGGGTTTATCTTTACAAAACATTAAAACAAACTTTAGGCCAATTTGTCGCTACATTTTCAAAACCTTACAAATTATAGTGAATTTTAAATCTAGTTTTTCTCAGGGGGGCCCATGCTGGACAACCCTTCAGATGTCATATAGTTAACATTTACTAAGACAATGACAGAAAGCTACAGCTACAGCTGACATGAACCATAGCTGTAGCTTACTTGTGGGGGATGACATTTGTATATGTGTCATTGTCATAGCAAGGCTAACCACTGTCCCACTATACAGACACCTTTAGTCCGCTAGGCTATGGTTTGTGTTATCTAGAATGACTTTCCAAATAAAAATAATAAATCATGGATTTATAACTAGTATTTGCTCATGAATTTAAAAAAAAGTATTAATTATACTATGAATATTATTATGTGAGTTGTTTTAATATGTTGAAAAGTTATTCTATAGATTTAGTTATTAATAACTTTTGTATATATTTGTTTTTTGCAATTTATTTAAAGAAACAACATGGTTACTTCTTTTACTAATATACGGAGAGATATAGGAAGGGGTCGGGGGGGGGGACGATCTTAGTCACAATAACCAATTTTTACACCAGGGACTTTTAAATTTTAACTCACAAGAAAAAACGTTTAATTTATTACAAATTATTTATTATTAAATTTATTTACGTAGGTACGGATAAAAAAATCATCTATTTTATTATCATTTTATATATTATATTTTTATTTTTTTATACCCTTGCATGGACTTAAATAGATTTTTCCTGTACTTTAAAAAATAATACAACTAAAAAAACTATATTTTATGTGTGTTTTATTTAGTGCCTTAAAACATGACAAGAAGAAAAAATATAAGAAAACCACTATACACTCTTAGCTAGATATCTCATGTTTGAAAACATGAGATTGCAAAAATTATTAAAAGACTAATCTGACACATAGGTTCTCTTATATATTGTCAACAACCCTTTCATGGGTAAAATCACAAAAGTTGTAATAACTCTTGAACCATACTTTTTACAGCGATGGGGGTTGTACAGTTTTGTTTTGAGTTGAAAGGACTATAAAATACAAAATTTGTATAAAAATCGTACGGGCCATTTTTGAGAAAATATTATTTAGATTTTTATGGGTTTTATTACAAAATCGCCTTAAACATGTTCAAAGGATTTTAAATAAACACCTGGAGATGCCATGGATTTGTACTCACTTGCAAAATTTCATAAAAATGCTCTGTACACATAGACAAACACAGACATAACTTCAAAAACCAGTTTTTTTTTTTTTTGGTTCAGGGGGGCCCAAAATGAATACATCCACCCACAACTCAAATTCCAAAAATTTGACGAAAACAATACTTTCTACATAAGGACCTCCTATGTATAGGGGGAGAAAGTAATAGACTAGTAAGTAATAATGAAACAAAATATGTACTATTTTTAGGTAGAGGGGAGCGACATGTATGTACGTGATCCGTGTTTCCCTGATCCAAGTGACTTCATGCGTTATTCCCCGGGCATTTCTTTACTGAGTTTTTCTGCGTACTTTGAGCGTTATTCCCCTGAACTAAATGCACGAGGTGAAAAGACAGCTTATGTTTATTCCATACTTATATTTATCTCAATTTAGATTCTTTGACTTAATTTGAAATAATTTATTATACTTAAATTGTTATCGTCAATGGAATGTCTTTGTTAAATGTAATAAACACCATTA